ATCATTTCCCAAGACGATCTTAGTCTAAAACTTGGGGATAAAAGATGGCGGGTGATATGCATTCCTGTAAAGCACGAAAGGCTTTCCATGCTCTATTTTAAGTAAACGATGAGAAAGACCAATACTTACAAATAGACAGTGCATTAGGCTCAGCTCAGACTGAAAATGTGCTTTTTGTTTGCCTATAAATGTTTAATATAACACAAATCTGATACGATTCTACTCATAGAATAAACTGTATTTACAACGTGGAGCCAGTTTCACAGACAACACTAACACTGTGAACAGGAACAGTAAGATGGAACAAATCATGTCTGCAGTGGCATTTACAGAAAAAGAATAAACATGAATCAAGTAAAAACCCTGTGCATCGTCTCTGTTGCCCTCGGGCCACACCAAAAACAACACCACTAATTACCACACTGTGTGTTCTGTTGCAGATTCAGACCACCGATGTGATAAAAAGCCAAATCCCTCCTCCGCTTCAAACCAACACAACTCGAGACACATCTAAGGAATTTTCCTTGATTTAAACTCGTATACCTACACTAAACACCATATAAACAATCATATAGCAGGAGGATAAAAGAAAGGAGCTTTATTCGCTCTACTTAACATGAATATGTCAGAAAAGCACTCAGCCACCTCGAGACGTGATATAAATAAGTCTGATAAGAACGAAGAGATATTCCCCAACTAATAATAGCAGATTTGAGTGGCTGTGACCATCGAGGTGCCTTATCTACGGTGTGGCAGACGAGGCTGCACACACTAGAAACACCCTGAGCTCAGCACGGCGACACTGCAGAGGAACACTATAAAGTCTGTCATGCTGCTACTGCATTTCATCTTTCTCTCCCTTTTTCAGCATTTCCTTCTGGTTTACTCCGACAGACTCAGACCATCCTTTCTTTACACCAGCCGTGCTGATGCATGGAGGAAACGTTCAGTCCCGACCCCTAAAAAGGCTTAGTACGCCATAAAGCATTAGAAATAAATGTTTTCAATGTGCCTTTGCAGAAACACCTCGATCATGTCTGCTTGTTTACTTCATCCACTCAAAGATAAATCTTTGATTTAAAAAGCCTTGCAGAACCTGCAGGGATTTTACTGAAACCATTAAAGTGTTCTCTAAAATCTTTTATTTCTCCGTTTTTAAAGACAAGACGGCAACAGCAGCTGTTTACGCGCCTTTAAAATGCTGATGTGGCACGTGCACACTGTAGATTGACTTCCTGCTGAAGACTTTTGCACCTTTTATTTGACAAGTCGGCCATGCTGTGAAAGGATTTAAATAGCTTCAGGAAGACAGTGGCCTTGGAGTCCTTTAGAAAAGATGCCTATCCCACCAAAAAGCATCTCAAACTGAAAGAAACGTATAAAAAGCTGCTGCCAGTGGCTCAATGGGGTCACCGTGGTAACCACCTGTGTCTGTCACTCCCTGACTGCAGACTGAAAATTAGACCCCAAATAAACAGTTGTGTGAAAACAAGTTCAATCTTACAAATTATTAGAAGACTGTGAGGATGTAAGGTTTCTACAGTGTTTTATTTAAAAGAAATGTCAAAGACCCCTCGCTTCTAGTTTTGAAGAGAACATTTTGAGCTCAAATATAACTGAAGTCTGTGGAGGCTTTGGTGCGAGCTCCATTCTGTGGGGATTTGGGAGAAACCCGTAAGCACGACGGCAGTGAGAGACACGTCGGGCGAAAGAAGACAAAAATCCTCACATTTTGATGTATAATTCTGAAATGTTGTAGGAGCAAGAAGAGATTGTCTACAAAGGTTTTGAAATCTTTTTTCTAAACGGATTAAATCAGAACAATTCAACTTTGCTTGTGTAAAAATTGTAAAAGATATTAGAGCACCAGGTCAGACATCTAAAGTTAAACTTTCTGTGACCTGTTTAAAATTTGAACGATGTGAAGAATATCTGAGCTGCAGCGCTCCAAAGAAGCATGGGTTATTCATATCTGAGAGCACTTCGCTCTCAGACTGCAGGTTTACTCGCGGTTCCTAGTGTTTCCAAAAACAGAATGGGGAGGAAGATCTTTCAGTTCTCAGGCTCCTCTCTTGTGGAACCAACTTCCAGTTTCTGTCCATGAGGCTGACACATTGTCCAGTTTTAAAACTAGGCTTAAGACTTTCCTTTTTGATAAATCCTATAGTTAGGGTTGGCCTGGGTTTCCTGAGCTGTCCCTTAGTTATGCTGCTATAGGCTTAGGAGGACAAACTGACCACATTTTTTCACTCTGCTACTGTCTTTACTTACTCTGCTCAATTGTTTTGTATTTGTAATTATTTTTTCTATCCTTAACATGTGTTTCTGTCTTTCAGGTACACCTGGACCTACATCTGGACCTACATCTGGACCTATATCTAGACCGACCATTCTGTGTTCGTTTGTCTCTCCTTCCTGTCCTCTCAAACCAGCCAGTCAAAGCAGATGGCCGCTTGTCCTGAGCCTGGTTCTGCTGGAGGTTTCTTCCTGTTAAAATTGAGTTTTTCCTTTCCACTGTTGCCACTGTGCTTGCTCAGGATGGGAGATTGCAACGAAGTGAAGATTTCCTTAGATAGAGAACTTTACTAATTGGCTTTTCTATGTATCTAAATGTTACTGTAAAGTGCCCTGAGACAACTTTGTTGTGATTTGGCGTTATATAAATAAACTGAATAGAATTGAATGTTTTTCCCCAAATCCCACTGATCGCCATTGTTTTAGTCATGCAGCTTTTGTTCAAACTTTGCCTCTGTTGTAAAATGGACCATAACCAAATGTTAAAGCACAATATTCCAAACTAGGGTGCACATTGTGCTTTAAAACTTGCATGTTACAATTCAAAGCTGTGCAGCGACATATACTGTAGCATAAAACCTTTTAATGGATGCATTTTTACTTTGTACACTTAACCTTCAATTGAAGCAAAGACAAGGCTTAAAAAACATAATATCAGATTATCTCAAATGAAGCAGTGACTATATTCTCTCCTCATAAAAACACTTGATTAAATCACTTGACCTCCAAGTGCTTCAGCACCGATGGGGCTGTGGTTGTTGTGTAACAATAGGACAGATCTGCAGGTCAGAGCTGCAGTGAAACAACACGAAGGCCAGCGTTTCAGCACACATCAGATTTGTTAACACTAACAAGCTCGGACTTTCAGAGTCCAAAATCTTTTGGCGCGATTAGTTGCGCTTGGTGTAGTTAGAAACCTTTTCCAAATCAAAGGCCAACCGCACCGAGTCCAAACTCTAGAAAAAAACCTGCTGTCAGCCGGAGTGATTGATCTGGTCCAGACCTGAGTCTAATACGACTGTGGCCTGATCAACTGTGTCTTCACAAATCGTCCGTGTGAATTTACTGACATCAGCAAAATAAAAGCCCGAGATCAATAACACAAGTAGCTGTTTACAACGTGGAAACATCGGCTCCATCTCCAGCCGAACATGAAAACTGATATGGACACAGACGAGTCAGTCTCTCTGGTCCCATATTTGGTGCATATATAATGATGAGGGCATAAAGGAGGAAACGTGTCTCATTCGAAAGATAAAAAAAGAAAAGCAGCTGTGCTCAAGATCACCAGCACATACACCCGCAGTCCCTCGAGTGGGTTCAGTGTGTTGCTGATGGGACCCTGCAGCCAGACGATCGATGTCTCCCTCCTGGACAAAATGATTGCCTAATCAATCTGCCAATCAGCTCCAAACCCCAACAGGCCCGTTCATCATCAAAAGCAGGAGTTTAACACGACGCATCAGTTCTTAGATCGGCAGTTTGAACATGCACGTGCAAAAAAAAAATACAGACTTCTGTTTTCCAGAAGCTCTACCCCAGATGTAAACAGGCTCTTTGGATCTTCCACTCATCCCATTTTGGTTTGTTAAATCTGGACACGGCAGACCAGAAGCTAAATTTGACTGGAGAGTACAAACGTCAGTTTTGACTGGAGCGTTTGACAAAACCAGATGTCAAGGCGAACATTTTTCACTGGCCTCAATGTGGTTTGTGCAAACCTCCTCAACAACATGGATGGGAAAAGGCAGAAAGTTTAAAGTCATGTAGCAGCATTTTGTTTAAAAGGAAAACAAGAGAAATATCATTCTCTGCTAAAATGCCGAGTGCTGAAGGACTATTCTGAAATTTGCTGAGGAAACTGAAATGTGCAGATAAAGCTAAAAGCAGAACACCAACGAAAAGATAAAAAGAAATGGATACTAGCTAAAAGATAGCAAAGGGTTAGCTAAAAGCTAAATGTATCAAAATTTATGCAAGAAGCTACAAGGTCTAGCTAAAAATTAAAAGTTGCATCGGAAGGCAGACAAAACATTTTAAAGGGAACAATGCTTTTGAAGGATTCAAAGAGCTCTGGATGTATTTCTGGAGAATTTAATTTGACATAAAGTTAAACAATTTGAATCATACATTATTTACAATAAATAAAAGTCATCGCAAACATCTGAATGAGCTGAACAACATAAAGTAAGCAGAAATAGTTAGACTAAAAAAACAAATAGGAAAATGAAAAACAGGAAAACAACAGTGTGCGTCAAAATGATCAGTGCTTAAAAAGTCTGATAGCTTTAACCTTAAATTAGTAATAATAAAAAATCTAATCTTGCAACCTTTGGTTTCTGTGACAATAAAATGAAAACAGCAGCCTGAAGGTTTCAAATGTTGATGCAGCACAAATAAAGAGCATTCATTTCATTCTTCAGTGAAAAAACACTGCAGTCGATTCATCTTTTCATCCACACATTCAATTAGTCTCTCCATTCACACGGACAGTATCAATTAAAAACAATCTTGACACGATGCACGCCCCCCTGCTGGTCTGACCTGGTCTTCTGAGGGCTCCACATCCATTATGTTGTCCCATTCCTCTTCACCCCCCTAACATCAGCCTTCACCGTAAGCCTGCACATCTCAGTCCCTATAGACGGCGAGGTGGCCGGGAGCCTGTAACCATAGAAACCTCCTGCCGCTCGCTGATTGCTTACCTGCTCTTGTATGAGCTGAAACAGGGAGCTTCTATCCATATACTGGCCAGGGAGGTGAGAGGAGCCGCTGAGGACAAGGGCATATGGGAGGAGCGAGCGAGGAGAGGTGGCTGTGTCGGAAGGGTGAAGGTGAACCGAGGAGGTTCGGTTTGGCAGCAGCTGGTGCCCAAATCAGAGCATCAGGCCGCCTCAGCGCTGCTGCATCTCCCCTGTGGTGCGGATGCAGAAAATCCTGATGATGCTCGTTTTTTGAAATTTTTTATATATTTTCTTTTCCCTTCCTTGCTGGGGGAGCAGTTTGGCCAGGCTGGACTGAGACTCTGCTCTGTATGAGAACGGTGTGGCGTGATGGTGAAGCCAGCTTCAGCAGACGACAAGCAAGCAAAGCAAGGCAGATCCAGCAGCTCTCATTCACTCTCCTCCTCCTCCACCTCCTCTAGCCCATCACTCTGGCTGCTACTCTCTCTTCCTCTCTTCACTCTCTTTCTCTCTCTCTTTCTCTCTCTCTTTCTCTCTCTCTCTACAACCCCCCCCCCCCCCCGCCACCCCCACCCCCCCCACACACACACACTGCATTGCCTGCATAACAATGAGGCAGGGGAGGGAGGAGGCCTCCTTCTTCCAATTGCAGGAGGGGAAGGAGTGGCCAGAGGCTGCGGCTCTTCTCCTCACTACAACTGAGGCATCTCAGGGAGGAAGCACTGCGGCTTACTACAGGCTGAGACCACCCTACCACCATCAAACACACAAACACACACGTCTGATCTGCTAACACACAAAACCCACACATTGCAAACAAGACACGGCTTAGAATCCCATGTGTTTGAATTATGCACATTTTATCTAAATGAAAAGCCATAAAATGATTTCTGACACGTCCTTCTCCATGCTTGCTCTTTTAAAGCATGGTGCATGAACGACGTGCACAGAGCAAACAGACACACTCACTCACAACAGTTGAATTAGACACTTTGGATGGCTCACTGATCACCCAGAAACCCACAGCAGCAGCAACACGTGAGTAAAGGCTTCCTATATGGGGGAGTGGTGGCGCAGAGGTTAGAGAGGTGGGCCTGTGATCTGAAGATCGCCGGTTCACGCCCCGACAACATCAAAATTGTGGGTGGGGTAGGTGAAACACCCACACTTGCCCCCACCCTCATTCGCCCCACTCTGGGCCCATGAGCAAGGCCCTTTACCCCCACCATGTGCTCCCTAAACAGGTCTCTTTTGAAAATGAGTTCTTGTGGCTCAGTGAGACTACCTGTATAAATAAAGGCTAAAAAAAAAAAAAAATTTTTCAAATGATCAGAATGCAGGAGGGAAGCAGATATGGTTCTTTTTTTAGGTAAAGTTATTAAACAGCACACTGAGCACAGAATAAATTTTCATTGTAATGCTGATGATACTCAGTTATATATATATCCATCCATCCATCTTTACCCGTTTGTTCCATTTTGGGTCACGGGGGTCGCTGGTGCCCATGTCCAGCAATCACTGTGCGAGGGGCGGGGTACACCCTGGACGGGTCGCAAGTTCATCACAGGGGACAAACGAGACAAACAACCATTCACTCTCTCACTCACACCTAGGGACAATTTAGAGTTACCAATCAGCCTAACATGTATGTTTTTTGGTCTGTGGGAGGAAACCAGAGCACCCGGAGAAAACCCACGCATGCACAGAGAGAACATGCAAACTCCACCCAGAAGGCCCCTGGACTGGGGTTTGAGCCAAGGACCTGCTCACTGAGAGGCAGCAGCTCTACCAGTTGCGCCACCGTGCTGCCTTCAATTCAATTCAGTTTATTTCTATAGCGCCAAATCACAACAAAGTTGTCTCAGGGCACTTTACAGAAACATTCACTTACATAAAAGCCAATTAGTAAAGTTCTCTATCTAAGGAATCCAGCAGACAAGTTGAATCTTGGCTTCGATGCAGTCTCCCATCCTGAGCAAGCACAGTGGTAACAGTGGAAAGGAAAAACTCCCTTTTAAAAGAAGAAACCTCCAGCAGAACCAGGCTCAGGACAAGAGACCATCTGCTTTGACCGGCTAGTTGAGAGGACAGGAAGGAGAGACAGACGAACACAGAATGGTAGGTCCAGGTATAGGTCCAGGTGTATCTGAAAGACAAACAAACACATGTTAAGGATAGAAAAAATAATTACAACTACAAAACAGGTTGAGCAGAGTAAGTAAAGACAGTAGCAGAGTGAAAGTTGTGGTCAGTTTGTCCTCGAGCAGTCTAAACCTATGGCAGCATAACTAAGGGACAGCTCTGGAAACCCAAGCCGACCCAAACTATAGGATTTAGCAAAAAGGAAAGTCTTAAGCCTAGTTTTAAAACTGAATAATGTGTCAGCCTCACGGACAGAAACTGGAAGTTGGTTCCACAAGAGAGGAGCCTGAAAACTGAAAGATCTGCCTCCCGTTCTGTTTTTGTAAATTCTAGGAACCACAAGTAAACCTGCAGTCTGAGAGTGAAGTGCTCTGTTAGGAAAATATGGAACAATAAGATCTGTAATATAAGATGGAGCTAGGTAGTTGAGAGCTTTGTAGGTTAGAAGTAAGATTTTGAAATCTATTATGGATTTGACAGGGAGCCAATGGAGAGAAGCTAAAACTGGAGAAATATGATCTCTCCCACTAACTCCAGTTAAGACTCTAGCAGCAGCATTTTGGATCAACTGAAGACGTTTTAAAGAAGTATTGGGACACCCAGATAATAAACCATTGCAATAGTCCAGTCTAGACTTGACAAATGCACGGACCAGTTTTTCTGCATCATTTTTAGATAAGATTTTTCTAATTTTAGTGATATTATGCAGGTGGAAGAAGGCAGTTCTAGTAACGTTTTTAATGTGGGGGATAAAAGACAAGTCCTGATCAAAAATAACACCAAGATTTTTAACATAAGAGCTGGAGGACAGATTAATGCCATCTAAGGAGGGAAAGACTGAAAAATTAATTCCTATGGTGCTCAGGTCCAAAAACCAAAACCTCTGTCTTGTCTGTGTTCAACAGGAGAAAATTAAGGGTCATCCAGGTTTTTATGTCTTTAAGACATGCTTGTAGTTTAAGTAGCTGATTGGATTAAGTCAGAGTCAGAGATTCTTTATTGTCATTCGCACCTCATGTGGTACATGTGGTGGAGCGAAATTATGTACACAGGGTCCCAGTTACATCCAACAATAAAATGCACAAGAAAAACAGCAATAACATCCAAAATATAAACCAAGAAAAACATCAACTAAATATACACCAAGCACTCATAACATAAAACATTGAACATCAGTACAAACATGAACATGAGTCCGCGAGCAGATGTGCACGCATGAACACACCAACATTGAAACTGGGTTAACATTAATTGGGTTTAATGGACAAATATAATTGTGTGTCATCAGCATAACAATGAAAACTTATCCCATGCTGTTTAATAACTTTACCTAATAGAAGCATATATAAAGTAAAGAGTATTGGCCCAAGCACTGAGCCCTGAGGAACTCCATGACTAACTTTGATGTACGAAGAAGATTTATTATTTACATTTACAAACTGGATTCTATCAGATAGATATGATTTAAACCATTTTAGAGCCGTTCCTGTAATCCCAATATCATGTTCAAGCCTCTGTAGTAAAATATTGTGATCAACGGTATCAAAAATTAAAAACATGTTTTTACAAAATGATGTAGAAAAACTGATCCATGTATTTGTCACATCTAGACTGGACTATTGCAATTGTTTAGTAACTGGGTGTCCAAAAATGCTTGAAAAAGTCTCCAGTTGATCCGAAATGCTGCTGCCAGAGTTTTAATGAGAGTTAGTAGGAGAGATCATATTTCTCCAGTTTTAGCTTCTTGACTCCCTGTCAAGTCCAGAATTGAATTCAAAATCTTACTTCTAACCTACAAAGCCCTCAACAACGTAGCTCCATATTAAATTTGAGATCTTATTGTTCCATATTTTCCCAACAGAGCACTTTGCTCTCAAACGGCAGGTTTGCTTGTGATTCCTAGAGTTTCCAAAAGTAGAATGGGAGGAAGATCTTTCAGTTTTCAGGCTCCTCTCTTGTGGAACCAACTTCCAGTTTCTGTCTGTAAGGCTGACACATTGTCCAGTTTTCAGACTGGGCTTAAGACTTTCTTTTTGATAAATCCTATAGTTAGGGTTGGCTTGGTTTCCTGAGCTATCACTTAGTTATGGTGCTATAGGCTTAGACTTCTGGAAGACAAATTGACCACATTTTCTCACTATGCTGATGTTTTTACTTGCCCTGCTTTGTATTTGTAATTTCTATATTTAACACGTTTCTTTTTTTTTTTGTCTTTCTTCCTATAGAAAGTACATCTGGACCTGTCATTCTATGTTTTCTCTGTTTCTCCTTTCTGTCCTCTCAAACCCCAGCTGGTTGAAGCAGATGGCCGCTCATCCTGAGCCTGGTTCTATAAATCTCAACTCATAAAGAAGTCAAATGATCTTAGCTGATTGCAGATGGGGGCGCTGGAAAAGTTGTGACGACTCACATATAAAGATGAAAGTCGAGTCTCAGAAGGGTGTCCTGTCTGCACAGAGATTTAATGGACTTACATTTAGGCATTTATTTTGATTAAAGATGAAAAAGTTTGAATTTAAAGGCCCAGCGTTCTTTGAAGGGACACACATTCACCTGCCACCTTTCAAGCCAGAGTTGTAAACATTACTACATTACACAGCACAAGATCATTTTAAGTTGAGAAAACTGAAGCCATTTTGGTCAAACCTCAGAAACTACATTATGTACAATCTCATGCACACATCACAAGATAACCATCAGCTACTACCACAACAAATTTTAGCCCTATCTGTAAAATTGATAGATTTATAGCCATGTTTGTGTTGGCTAAGGTCAGTTAACTGTGACAGCCAGGGTGGCTTCAAAAGTTAATCAGTTTTCGATACAAACTCGATGATTGTTTCCTGAAAGTTTCTCCTACGGATCATTAGATGTCTTGTTTACGGACAGAGTTGACTCCAAATAGTTGTACATGCATTGATTACTCCCTGCAAGTTCTATTAAAACTTGTCCAG